TATTGGTTTGGATGCTTTGGTTGTGGTTATTTGGTGTTTTGTTATGTGTATGTAGTGAATGCAAGCGGGGGTTCAATGTCCCCTTGTTGATGAAAACATCTTCATCCCTGAAAGAGTGACTGCTGGCCTGTGGATGAGTGTAAACTGCAGAGTCCTGACCTGATGRTGWAGCTTGTCTGTGCTGGCTCATTCTTCATTCTTTTGAACAGTTATAAGGTTGAGTTCACCTGAAACTCCTCAGACTGAAGAAGTCTCTTGGASGAGAGACGAAACGTTTCACTAAAGAAGAACCCATCCAGAGGACCTACTTATTTTTTCTTTTCGATTAGTTTACTGTGTTAGCTGATTAGCAGAACCGTGCCATCCGCCAGAGTTGTATACTTTGTTACTGTACTTAAGTAGAAATTTTGGTAATCTGTACTTTACTTGAGTAATTATTTTTCAGCCTACTTTTTACTTTTACTCCTTACATTTTTACACAATTATCTGTACTTTCTACCTACTCCTTACATTTTTTAAAAAGTCAAAAAGTAGAAAGTCATTTCTCCTATTTCATTTCGGCTTGGTATTGTAAAAAAAATACTATCCTGAAAAATTGTGGCTCCTGAATAGAGTGAATTTAACTGTGGTTGGATGAGAAGTACGAATAYATACCATTCTGATATTGTATTTAGTTTGTACATAATTCATCAAATCTGCACACCTTTAGAAAAAATAGTTTTTGAAGAGGCCACCTCCCAATAAATGCATTTTTGGAACATCTAACCATTCATTGTTACTCAGTGCTTTTACTTTTATTACTTAAGTACATTTTATGTCAGAAATTTACTTTKGATACTTAAGTACAAAATAAATCACAATACTTCAAGATTTTTACTTAAGTAATATTCTTAGAGGAGACTTTAACTTTTACCAAAGTAATTTTATGATAAGATGCTTGCACTTTTACTCAAGTATCACTTTCAGGTACTTTATACAACACTGCCAACCACTATAAGTTATGTGTTTAACAATTAAATAAAAAAGTCATTATTCTGAAAAAATGAACTGAAATCAAGTGATAAAGCAGCCAAGCTTAGGGAAAAATACACCGAAGACCTTCAAAAAACCTGAAGAAATATTGATCATTGATCATTGATCATTGATCATTACTACTTGGAAGCAAAATACGTGACCTGCTGTTTCATCTCCAGAGCTTTTTTCTGTCTGAAAGATTTACAGGTCAAAGTTAAAAGCAAATATTCTTTAGAAAACAATCAGGTACTGAACTGAAATTGAGTATAAAAAAATCCAAAGAAAAACTTTGAAAGACCCTCAAAAGGCCTATTAGACCACCTTAAAAGACAGTCCGTTTCCCCGGAATCAAAACCTGAATAAATTAGCTTCAAACTTTTGCTCAGTGTATCTCTTGGTGTGACAGCACTTAATCCTGATCTTCACCTCCCCACCTTCAATCATCWACTCCTAAATATTTCCATTATATCTGTGGAAATTAGAATTTGAATATTTAATGGCATCATGGATCATCTAAAAATACTCAAAGGGTGCGACAGCTCTTGGAACAGATTTCCTCCAAACAATGGCCACWGTGATTCACGACCTCTTCTTGTTTGTTGAGGGAAAAAGTGGCTCCCACACGACTGGCAGCTGAGAGACAAACTTTAAGGCTTGATTTTTGTCTCCTCGTCTCACGATTATAAGCTGGAAGGCCCAAAAAGGGACCATTAAAAATGAAAGAGCCTGCTTCAATATGAGGCGAGGATGACAAACAGCCCTTGCATGACACTGTTCTTCCTTTGAGCCRGAGGGTACTTACGTTTTTCTTCCACTGGGGGCTTGCAGAGTCCTGAAAGACACATCACTGTTACAACACTGTGGCAGACACTAGATGGCAGAATGGTTTCAGTAAAACACCTCAATATGGCCAAAGAATGATCTAATCTTTTACTTTATCRGCTCTTAAATATCTGTCAGTTCACACAGATAATGTTAGTCCAAGAACACATCATTAAAGAATTCAAAGTCTTATTTATTAAAGTTCAAAAGTGTTCAGTTAACAGAAGAGCCTGCTGACAGCTCTTGGCAAGCAAAAGATCAACATATGTAACAGCATTTGCTTTTAAGACTTCTTAGGACTAGTTTCTTTTAAATAAAATAAATAGTTTTTCAAACATTTGCAATAAGTTTGACTGTGTTAATGTAGTCTGCATCAGGAATTCTCCATGGTCTCCATCTGAAAGCATGTCATGTTTAATTTAGGCACTTCCAGATGCAAACATCAAGCACTCAGAGTGTAACAAGACATAAAGACCTTACCTCTGATCCGTGGGTCACACTGTGGCTGAGCACCAGACGCACCAACCAACAACAGCAGCAGGACCAGCAGCATTTTCTGACCGCCTGTTCGATTCCTTTTCGATGTGGCACAAACTCAGCCTGAGGGTGTGTTTCAGTCTGTGAGTGAGAGTGCGTCAACTCTCCAAGATGCCAGAAATTCCCAGTGAGAGTTCACTTTATTATAAACATTACGGTTAACTGTTGAGTTACAGAGGGAAAGTGCTTTGAGGTGAATTGGGGGCATGTGCACAACAGAGGGAGATATCTTTACAAAACTTGACTTAAGTGAGTGTAATTAGGATTTATTAAAGTACTGTGGAATTATAAGCAAATGAAGGAGGTAATTTGTCATCAGGTTATCGCCTAAATCTACAGCTCATTTTGCTTTTAGTGCTAAATGTCTTCAGCACAATCAGTCTTCTCCAAATTCACAGAACACATATGGACTACACAAGCAAACAATTCTCGTCAGCTCCTACCGTCTGCCACCAGAAGGTTTTCTAAACTCATTGGCAATCTCAGCTGTGGGCTCATCTTCTCTGAGTCCCCAAAGTCTGTCTCTTTAGTAGCAAGAATTGAGGCTTGATTAAGGACGTTCTCAAATAGTTCCCTCTGTTGAACAACATTCACAGTCCAAGTTTGCCATTTTCCACCCAAAGCTAGACCAAATTGGTCCAAGCTAAACCTTTCTTTTCTGGGGTGCCATATAGGTTTGCCAGAACTTCCTTGAAGCCATCTGAAGTTTTTGGTTTTCCATGGCTTCTCTGAATTCCTCCCAGATCTTTGCTTCTATGTTAGCAGCAGACCTTTTTACCACTGATAACCTGTAAGCTGTGGATCTGATACAGCTTGATAGCTTCCATCACCACTGAAGATCACTGACAACTCCAATATCCATTGCAACAGCTCTCAACCTTCAGGATACATCTGTACCTTCAATAGAATCATTAAGACTTCCTCCCTCAGGAAATGTTAAAAACTCTCCTGTAGATGTAAGTTAATTATTTCATAAATGGGGCATTTGCCAGACATTCCCAGTTTTGTCTCACTACTATCTTGGTATTACCACAACATCACCTGTACTAATCTAACTCACCTGGTAGTGATCGGATGACAGCTCTGTCCCTCTCTCATACATCCAGCACATAAGGTTACAGGTTAAGTGATATGATAATGAGGTCAACCATTTACCATTGTTAGCCCAAGGTGGCCTGGTATTAAGTGCACACTGCATTGAAGGTTTGGATAAAACATTGGTGGTCTAAAACTTGGTCACATATTCCAAAAGAAAAAATAAGTAGGTCCTCTGGATGGGTTCTTCTTTAGTGAAACGTTTCGTCTCTCSTCCAAGAGACTTTTTCAGTCTGTTGAGTTTCAGGTGAACTCAGCCTTATAAGCACTGCCTCCACATAGACAAACAGGTTAGTCACATGCTAAAGAGGGCCATCGCCTAACAATAGGCTTGATTAGTTATATTGTTCATAGAGGGCCATGTGACCCATTTTTCACATATTATTAACATTATTTCCGTTTATTATGACTCATAATAGACAAGCAGTCCAAGARATGTGAGGCTCTTGAACCATTCACATCTTTGGAAAGGTTCTTCAAATTCTGCAAGATCCACTTCTAGCCAATACTGTCTGCACCTTGCAYAAAAGTAAGTTCAACAACAGAACATCATTCAGAACTAGATCAGAGGCCTGTTTCACCAAATCAACCCCTTCTCGGTAACTCCGTCACCGAAGCCAGCCAGAAAAACAACAGAATCCCCTGATGGAACCTTTTCTAGGACAACATCCAAAGACCCTAAAGGGCCCAGAATACACAAAGCCAAACCATTGRCTCCTGGTCATGCGGTTGCCAGGTGTTTGTTTTTGCGCACAGCTATCAGGGTTCACTAGACACATGGTGCTGAGCTCCTGRGTTTCTTCCTGCTTGGAGACTCTAYGCCGATATCCACCATTTGGTTACAAATCTGTCACGTACAGAGTGCCACACTTTTACAGTGGACAGATTCCTCCCTGCACAATTTGCTATCTTCATCTATGGGTTTTTAACCATTTAACACTTTATAAGTGTCTATAAGAGCCATATAGATGAATGTCCTGACTGCTCCTTGACACTATCTATGTTGTTTGGATGCACAACAGCTTCTGGAAGCAAAATAGTTGAAGCAAAATGCAACCATTGTTGTCTCTTCTCTTGGGAAACTTCATTGCAAGAGCGAGTCTGTCAAGGAGTTAGCTTCTAGAACCAACACCGTGTGCACTTCATGAGCCCTCCTATATCTAGTTGTTCAACCTCACACACCAGCTTAAGGCTCTCATGAGCCCTGATTCACACCCACTAAAGTCTCACCGACRTACATCCAGGGACATGTTTTAAAATTCCAAAGACGATGACACACTGAATGTATGGCTCCAACTTTTTCTACTTGTTCAGCTAATTATAAGGTCTTCTCTTCAAGCTGAGCAGACCTAAATWAGCATAATGAAAAGTGTGAATATTCATCACGCAAGGAGGCAGGAGGCCAGGCAGGCAGAGGTAAAAGTAAGAAAAAAAGAAAAGAAAAAACTTTTCTGTATCCTTCAGCTAAATCAGGAATATTGATTAGATTCTTGACATGTTCATGTTTTATGCAAATGACTGTAGAAATTGATTAGAAGTGAAGCTTGATAGGARAGATAATTCTCTGTGGAAAGCATGCATGTACTTGCAAAAGGTGTTTGTGATCACAGCAATGTTGCTGAAGGGAAAAAATGTGGGAAAAGGCTGAGTCACTGTTTGAGAAAGTTTAGACCCTTCCACAGTCGGCTGTGATCAGAAAACATACGTACAGCTGAAGAAGCCCGTCCTGGCTTTAATCAGAGGATGTGATATGAAAAAAAGGGTCTGAGAGAGAGATTTATCACCATGTTTTTCTCCCAGATACCCCGATTTATTCTGTTGTGTTAAAACTAGAAGAAAGTCACAAGCGTTGTCCGTGAATATTTTCATTTTTTAAGAACCCCCTTCAAGAAACTCGAGGAGCTACGACACATATTTTGACCCCACATTCATTTTCCATTTGAGCAGTTTTAATTACCAGTTTCTTCTTTATCAACCTCTGATGATTGGGGTTAATTACAATGTGATAAAAAAAATGAGCTCCGTATTCCTTTCAACACAGAGCCCTTTCAGCATCCAACTGTTGGAATTTAGATTGGATTTAGAGGTTCTAATGACTGAGTGAGCCAGACAAATACTGGGTTTCCTTTATGGAAATATATGGATATGTTTATATTTTTTTGAGTCAACCTTCGTTAATGAGTTAAAATGATCTCTGACTAGTTGTAACATTAGACATTTCTTAAAAAACATTCACTTTAACTATAAAAACAAGACTGTAAATATAGTTTAGGCTGTTTATGTAAACACGGACAGAGCCATGTTATGTCCACCGTATAGCATTCTGGGTAAATGATGACACATACAAGACCCTACGGTGCGAGTTGTATCCAGCTTGAACATTAATTTTGGACTGATGTTCTGATGTTCAGTCCTTTTAAATTAAACTGGATGACAACAGAGCTGCTTCATGGAACTTTATCATTTTAGCTTTGATGTTAGCCATCCATCCATCCATCCATCCATCCATC